GGTGGTGCGTGCCTATAATCCCAGCTACTCAGGAGGCTGAGGCAGGAAAATGACTTAAATCTGGAGGTGGAGGTTGCCGTGAGCTGAGATAGCACCACTGCATACTCCAGCCTAGGTGACAGAGCAAGACTCCATCTCAACAAACAAAACAAGGCCGGGCGTGGTGGCTCACGCCTATAATCCCAGCACTTTGGGAGGCCGAGGTGGGTGCATCACTTGAGCTCAGGAGTTCGAGACCAGCCTGGCCAACACGGTAAAACCCCATCTCTACTAAAAATACAAAAAATAGCCGGGTGTGGTGCTGTGCCTGTAATCTCAGCTATTCAGGAGGCTGAAGCGGGAGAACTGCTTGAACCCGGGAGGTAAAGGTTGCAGTGAGGTGAGATCGTGTCACTGCACTCCAGCCTGGGCGACAGAGCAAGACTCGTCTCAAAACAAAACAAAACAACACAAGTCAGAGGTTCTTGTGGGAAGATCACCAGGAGAGCTCCTTGTAAGAGGTGATGAGGCTGGCGAGGAGCCTGAGGGAGGGCAGGGGGGTGGAGGGCCAGGGAAGGGCGGGGTCGCCTCTGCTCACCTGGCTGCCTCCCATTAAAGTGCTTTCCTGGGAACCAGGCTGAGAAGAGAGGCAGAGGCAAGTTCAGGCGGGGGAAGAGCGAGGAGGAAGGCAGCCAGGCTTCTGGGAAGCAAGAACCCTTTTTCTTAGAAGCAGGGCCCTGGAGTTTCCCAGAAGCCAGCCTGCCCTGGGACGGTGGAGGCAGTGGTAGGTGGTCAGGTTGGCCCTGGTTTAACCTAGGGGATTTTCCCTTCCTAATATCCTGGCCCAGGAACAACTCTTGGGCAATGGGTCTCTGTTCACAGGTAAGTAGAAGTTGCTCTGGTGTGGGCAGAGACCCCTCCGCACCGCACAGCCGTGGCTGGTGAGGATGGGGGATGGGAGCTGAGCCCACAGTCAGGCCCCTGTGTCCAGCAGGCCCTGGTCACCCAGTGCACTGAGGCCAAGGGAACCAGGACAAACGGGCCCTTGTGGTTGGGAGGCTGCCTGCCGTGCCAGGGACACTGCGTGCCCGGTGCTGCCACCAGCCTGCCGCCTGCCTGAGGGGGCTGAGGGCCTGGGAAGTGGGGCTACCCTTTCCGAAGGGGACCTCCTGAGCTGCCCTGGCCTCTGGAGAGGGCACAGGGCCTTGCCTGGCTGCCAGGAGGTGGCAGGGCTGGTGCCCGCTGCCCTCTTTCTCACAGTCCTTTGCCTGCAAGAAGTTCCCCAGGGCTAGAGAAGAGCAATCCCTTGGGACTCTAGGGCCCTGGGTCTGAGGGACACTGCTGTGTCCCCCCCTCCTGCCACCCACTGTCCCATTAACCCCTGGGCTTGGCTCCTTCCTTAGCTTCTCCCCCGGAAGGTAAGACTCAAGGGCCTCTCCTCTCTGCCTCACCTGGGACACCTGACAAAGGACAGCAAGGTACCAGCTGCCCTCCCCTGCCCAGAGACCCTCCGAGAGCTGTTCAGGTCTCCATGCCAGCACCACGGTGGGCAGCTGAGTGTCCCAGGCAGTGGCTGAGCAGTTTCCAGCCACCACAACCCTGTGAGCTGGGCCTGGCTGTCAACCCAGTAACGGATGAGAAAACTGACAGCCCTGCTCATGGTCACGGCTCCAGCCTGGGCCTGGTGCTTTCTTTGTTTGTTTGTTTGTGACACAGTCTTGCTCTGTCACCCAGGCTGGAGTAAAGGGGCGTGATCTTGGCTCGTTGCAACCTCTGCCTCCCAGGTTCAAGCGATTCTCTTGCCTCAGCCTCCAGAGTAGCTGGGATTACAGGTGTGCGCCACCACGCCTGGCTAATTTTTGCATTTTTAGTACAGATGGGGTTTCACCATGTTGATCAGGCTGGTCTCAAACTCCTGACCTCAGGTGATCCACCCGCCTTGGCTTCCAAAGTCCTGGGAGTACAGGCATGAGCCACCGCTCCCAGCCAGGTCTAGTACTTTAAAAAGGCAAAATGCAAACCCCCACTCCCTCCCACACTCACTGTGGCAATGTGCTCTCCCTCCCCGGGCAGCAGCCATGTGTCCCCACACGCAGCCATATGCACCCCTTCATGTATGTGCTCCCTCAGCCACTGTCAAGCTTGTCGCATCTGGGCACATGCATGCTGCAGATATACAGGGTCACCCAAAGGCAGAGAGATGCCCCTACCCCGACATACGTGCAGGAATGCATATGTGCCCCACGGCATCCCACAGCACACAGCCCCTGCCCCTGCAGGCCCAGAGGCCCCGGGTACACACCCTGCTCCCTGCATATCTGCCAGACAGCAATGGGTGCCCCAGCATCCCAGACCCCTGAGCACACTCCCTCAGGGCTCCATGCAGGGACTCCCTGGCCCCAGCAGCTGGGAAGAAAAGTCCTCATGGAGGCCTGAAGAACGGCAAGCATCTGTTTCGAGGGGGTAGGGGGACCACGCAGGCAGCGCTGCCAGCTGGGACCTTCCACACTGGGCACTACCTACCTGCACACTACCCCCAGCTGTCACCTCCCCAGTCACCCAGGGCCTGAGGCCAGGTGGACTGCTTCACCCTTGAACTCCAGTCCTGAGCAACTGGGCAGCCAGGGCCTGGAACTTGGCCTCAGGGAAGAAGCGATGCTTGGCCTGGGCAACTTTCTCGCCTCCTCTGGGCCGTAGTTCCCCTACCTGAAAAGACCTGTGGATTCAACTTAGGGCCTGCAAGTGTCCCTGCCCTGCGCCCACACCCTGAATCCCCAAGGGCAGCCGGAGCTGGTGGGCCATTGGCCATCTCCCTTCTGTGAAGGGGAACGGACATTGGCTGCCACCCGCGGAGGGCCTGCCCATGTCGTGCCAGGGGCCTTAGGAGCATCTCACACTCCCCCACATTCGTAGGTCTGCAGAGGAGGCAATGGGGGTGCAGAGGCGTTAGGGAGCCCACTTGTTTGGGTCCCCTGAGGCCAAGCCAGGGCTCCCATCCCACCTCCCAGGCTTCTCTCCCCTTGACCTCTAGACAGCCCGATCTTCACTGGGGCTTCTGTTCCTGGTGATCATCATGACAGATGACAGCACTCATCAGGTGATTAATCAGCCAATCACTTGATCATCGGGACAGATAAGTGCTGCTCAGGGCCGGGGTTCTCCCTCCCCGCGGCCACAGCCCAGCAGGTGTGGGGTGGGAGCTGGAATCCCTCTGGAATGGATTCAGGTCAGGTGGTGGCAGCCCCCAGGGCTTAAATACCTTCCACCGCCCTCCCCACAGTCTCACCCTCCCCCCAGTCTCACCCTCTCATGGTCTCACCCTCCCGGTTTTTTATGTGCCCACCAGGCAGTGCAGGGAGGGGAGGCCAACGTGGGGGAGGCGGGGGAGGGTCCTTGGTGCAGCACCCAGGCAGGGTGGGTGGGGCCGCATGCCTGAATCTTCCCTCCCACCAGCTGAAGTGGCCTCCTGCCGCCTGTTCTTCAGTGCTAGGCTGGTGCTCACCTCGTCTGCCCGCCTTCTTGGCGTGGCGTCTGGCATGAACATGGGCCAGGGCTGCACGCACCTTGGGCTGTGGGCCAGCAGCTCCCCGCCACTGTCTGTGCTGCCCCCTGCCCTGCCCCTCCTCGTGTGGCACTCCAATTGGGGGCAGCCGGGCAGAGTCCCATGGGAGCACCCTGAGCCTAGCCGATGACCCCCAAGTGAACATACGAGTTCAGCACCCAACTCCAGAGGTGGGCACGCCCCTTGTCCATTTGACAGATGGGGCAAGGGAGACTCAGAGGGGTGAGGTCATGACGCAGGGTCACACAGTGAGCAAGTGATCAGGGTCAGACTGGCATCCTGGCTCCATGAGAGCACCGGGAGGCCCCGGGGGGTGGTCACCAACAGTCCTACCCTCACTGTCATCCCCAGAGAGAACATCTGAGGCAACCAGGTCTCACATCCTTCCCATCTCCAAAGTCCAACCCATTGGGCAGTGTGGCCCCACCTGCCTTCTCCCACCATTCTGCTGCCCCACCCTTTCCCAGGGTCTGGGGCTCCACCTCGCTCCTTCCAGGCTGGACACCCCTCATCTGTGTTCTCACCTCGGCTCCCGCAGTGCCCAGGTCTGGGTGCAGGGTGGGCGCCCACAAACTAAGGCAATCCCTATGGGAGCCCAGAGGGCAGGGCTTCCTTACACCCTCACAGCAACTGCGGGGGCCTCAGGGCAGACAGCAAGGCTCAGAGGGGTCCTGTGCTGCTTCTAGGATGCCCAGCAATAAGCGCTGAGCTGGAATTCCGACCCAGGTGTCCTGCTCCAAAGCCACCTGCGTCACCTGAGGACCGGGGGCCTGATAGCTGAGGTGGATGCTGGCAGGTGAGGAGGAAGGGCAGTGGCTGGCCTGGTCCTGGTCCCCTCACTCTCCTGCCCCAAGGCCCCAGTAGGTGACATAATTCACAGGGCAATGTTTATGCATTGAACGGTGAACACACAGGCAGAGGGGTAGATGAGTCACCAATGGGGAAACTGAGGCCAGTGAGAAGGGACACACTACGGTCACATAGTCAGTCGGTATCAAAGTTGGCCCAGAACCACAGTCCCCTCTTCCAGGGGCTCTACCCAGCTCAACCACACCCTGGCATGCCAGCCTGCCCCAGGCCACGGCTGCAAAGCACATGGTACCCCATGGTCCTACACACCCTGGCTGGCACCAAGCCATTGCTGTGCCTTCTGACCTTGCATTTTCTGACATTCTGCCACTGTCAACTCTCACTCAGGTATCCAGGAAGTGGCCTCTGTTGCTAGGGGACTGGCTTGATGCCGGGTAGCTGGCAGAGCGGGGAGATGGGGAGAGGGGAGTGGACTGGGGTGTGCCTCAGGAAGGATCCAGGGGCAGAGGCTGCTGGGTCCTGTCTCCGGGTGGAGGTGGAGGGCGGGTGGGTCATGAGAAGTATCTGAGGAAACTCAGCAGGTCAGGCCCCTTCCTCCCCAGGCTCTAATGAAGGTCCTGGACCCCCGTCTCTGCATTTTCTCTTTCAGCCTCAGAGTCTTCTCTTCGGGTCAGAGGTGGGTGTGCACCGGCGGGGGTTGGAGGTGAGCCATCGGAAAGCCCATTGGAAAGCCCCAGCCCTGAGCCTTCCTGCAGGCAAGTATTTTGGGGGCCAGCGGTTGCCAAGCAACTGCTCTGGGTTGCCATGGGAACACTCCCTTTTTCTGGGGCTTGTAATTTTTAGGGGGATGACACGATGCTTTCCATGCCCTTTCCTCTCCACTTCCTCACCCTGGCTTGGCTGCCCTGGGAGGGGACACTGGGAGTCCATAAGCTCATACCCCACCCCTGTTGGGGGGCCTACATATCCCTGGCCCTAAGACTCTTTGAGGCTACAGAATCAAGAACCCCCAAAATGCAGAGCCCAGAGTCCAAGGCCTTCATTAGAGCAGGGAGACGATGAAAGGGGCTCATTAGCTCTGTTTACGTCTCCTCGCCGCCATTAACCACCACTTGGGGCCTGGGGCCTCCCAGCCCCGCCCTGCCCAGCAGCCAGGCCCAGACCTGACCGTTGGAAGGCCGCTGTAATTGGAAGGAATGTGGTCCTAGTGCCTGGCCCTTCCCAGGTTTGTGTGCACACAGGGAGGCGCCATTGCCAAACTGCCACTACCTAGCTGTGAAGTCCCTTCCCCTCCCAGTGCCTCGGTTTCCCCACCTGGAACGGAGGATGGCAGTGGCACTTATCTTGCAGAGTGCTGAGCAGATACAAGGGACACCTTAGCACAAGGACCATGGGCTGGCTGTCACCACCAGGCACCTCTGCAGCACGGGACAGAGGTGCAGGGATGGCCTGGGAAGGACTCTGTGGAGCATGGTCCTGTGGCTAGCATGCAATGGTGACTGACCACGCCGCTGATGGCAGAATAGCCACTGAATCCAGGTCCCCAGGCTCCCAGCTCATGCCTTCTCCACAAGATCTGTCTGCCCCATATCCCTGACCCTTTCACAGGAGCCAGGGTGCTCCCCACAGGCCAGGCACCCAGTGCCAGCCAGGTGTACAGAGGCCAATATCTGCTCTGTGAATCAATCACTGAACCAACTGTCAAGGACCAGCAGCCTCAGGGGCGGGCCTGGTAGCTCCGTGAGCCAGGAGGTGGTGGGAGGGCCTTGTGCAGGCAGGGAGGTGACAGTAAGAAATGGCCTCTGGCTGGATGCAGTGTCTCATGCCTGTAATCCTAGCACTTCGGGAGGCCAAGGTGGGGGGATCGCTTGAGCCCAGGTGTTTGAGACCAGCCTGGGCAACATGGGGAAACTCTGTCTCTACAAAAAATCCAAAAATTAGCTGGGAGTGTTGGGGTGCGCCTGCCACCCCAGCTACTCTGGAGGCCTGAGCCCAGGAGATCGAGGCTGCAGTGAGCTGTGATCCCGTCCCTGCACTGCAGCCTGGGCCACAGAGCAAAGCCTTGTCTTTAAAAAAAAAAAAGGAAAGGCTTCCACTCATTCCACTCCCAGGCCAGCGGCTTGCTGTGCACTCCGCTCCCTCTCACCGATGCCATGTAAGCGGCTCCATGGCAGGGACCTGACCCCTGCACCTCAGCCCCACACTGCCTCGCCCCTTTGTATATCAAAGGGGCCTCTGTGGGGCCGTGCTGACCCCCACCAGGAGCAGCAGGACCACCTCAGGCATCCCAGTTCCCCCTGACACAGGGTCTGGGGCTGGGGTTGGGGGGAAGGACCCCTCAAGTCTCGATCTGCACAGACAGCTCCCCCCACCCCCCCCGCCCGTGCCCAGGACTGCCTTCTGAGCAACCGCAGACCTGCAGTAACAGGAGAGCTATTTGCAGGTGTAATCAGCCACAGGGCCTCTGGAGAGGCCTGAGAAAGGCCGGCTCAGCTTGCAGGTGAGGAACCAAACGAAAGGCAAACTCCTGGCCCCTGTGGGCCCGGCCCTTGCAGCCTCCCAGGTCCCCTATCCCTCGTCCCTGCCTTCCTTTCCGCCCCGCTGACACCACGGTCTGCAAACCATGGTCCTCCTCGCCACCCCTGTCACCTCCTCCTCGGCCCCCCGCCGGCCTCCGACGCAAAGTCGCCACGCAGTCACCCCGCCTCGGCCCCGCCTGGTTTGATTTCCTCCCGTGTGTGTCACCCATAAGGTGGCCGTGCCCCTGGCCTGTTTACAGCTGTGCGCAAGCTCCTTGCAACCCGAAAGCGAGACCTTTGTCTGCGGCAGCTCCGCGCCTGGCTGGGCGGCCGCACGGGAGTGCACAGTGCCACCTGCTGGTGCTGCCGCCAAAATGCGCCAAGCTGGGGAGCAGGAGAGCTCCGCTCACGCCCCCACATCCCCTAGCTGGGGGCTGGCTTCCTGGGATGTCCTCCGACTCCCCGCTGCTTCCCTAGTCCTCGTAGGCACGCGGGTACCCGGCCTGTGGGAAGGGAGTCATTCCCAATACTCCTGTTACGGGTTGAACTGTGTCCCCCAAAAAGATCCCTGGTACCCGTGAATGAGATCTTATTTGGAAATAGGGTCTGTGCGGATTGAATCCGGATGAGGTCATACTGGATTAGGGTGGGTCTTAATCCAGTGACTGCTATCCTTATGATAACAGGGAAAATTGGACAGTCACGCACAGGCGGCCATGTGATCATGAAGGCACAGTTTGGAGTCACACGTCTACACCACCAGGAACGAATGCCAAGGAAACTGGCAGCCACCAGAGGTTGGAAGACGCAAGGAAGGATCCTCTCCTAGAGCCTTCAGAGATAGCAGGGCCTGGCTGACCCCTGGATTTTGGACTTCGGGCCTTTAGAACTGTGAGAGAATAAATTTCTGTTGTGTTGAGCCACCCAGCACTTTGTGACAGCAGCCCAGGAAACTGACCGGATAGACAGCGGCCCCAGTCATCGCCCTCTGCGCCATCACACCTCCCCTCCGCGAATCAACCATGACCACAGGACACCTCCTTCTGGAATCTCTCTGTGCCCACTCACTCCCCAGATGAGCACTGCCCCTTCCCCTGGCAACTCCCCGGACTGTGTTACCCCCTCCTCTGGCATGGCCTGGATGCAGGAGACAGATGCAAAATGAATGAGCAAATATCCGCCTTTGCTACTTCGTCATATTCAGATGTTCATAAAAATCAAGTGGCAGCAGTGCTGGGGGTTAAGGAAATGGGGAGAGCGATGGCAGGTGTGTGAGGGGGGACAAGGGGCACTTCCAGGTACTCACAGCCACTCTGGGAGCTGGGACAGCCAACCATTGTGTTCTCATGCTCCCAGCCCTTGAGGCTCAGAAAGGGAAAGCCATCTGGGTCACCAAGCCCCTGCTTCTTGCCAGTTCTGTGATCCCAAACTAGTCATTGTGCCTTTCAGGGCCTCCCCAGTCTCCCGACCTGCACAATGGGGATGCTTCTAACATCTACTTCCTGGGGACATCACCATGCTAATGTGAGACAATACTACAAAACCTGTTAGCTACTGCACAGACTTCGAGATGGAAGGATTAGGAAGGGAAGGGGTCTTCAGAGACAGCAGGGCCCTGCTGACCCCTGGATTTTGGGCCTCTGGCCTTTACAACTGTGAGGAAAGAAACTTCTAACAGAGGTGAGACACAGCCCGGAATACAAGTGGGACAGGCTGGGCACTGGTGCTGTATCTAGGGAGTCACTCCCTTCTTAGTCTGGTTTCCTCGTCTGCACCATGAACGGGTTGAAAATTAAGCAAACATCAGATATTGGCCCCCTGTGGCATATGGAAGCATCTCCCAGTGGGAACACCTTCCATTGGCTCCCATTATGTTTGTTTGTTTGTTTATTGAGACAAGGTCTGGCTCTGTTGCCCAGGCTGGAGTGCAGTGGCATGATCTTGGCTCACTGCAACCTCCACCTCCCAGGTTCAAGTGATTCTCCTGCCTCAGCCTCCGAAGTAGCTGGGATTATAGGCACCTGCCAAGACGCCCGACTACTTTTTGTATTTTTTTTTTTTTTTTTTTGTGGAGATGGGGTTTCACCATGTTGGCCAGGTTGGTGTTGAACTCCTGACCTTAAATGATCCACCCGCCTCGGCCTCCCAAAGTGCTGAGATTACAGGTGTGAGCCACCACGCCTGGCCTCCATTATGTTTAGAATCAGGCCTGACTGCCTCCTCTCAGCCTCTGTCCCAAGCAGCCTCCGCACTGGCTCCAGAGAGCCCTGCCTCCTGATACATAAGTTGCTGAGTGATCTCCTTCCTCCAAGGGTGACTGGATTTAGTGACTGGCTTCTCACCAACAGAATACAGCACAAGTGATGTGAGGTCACTTCCAAGATTTACAAAAAACCATGACTTCTGTCTTGCTTGTTTGCTCTTGTTTTCCTTCCTACCCTCACGCCTCACGCTGGGGAAGTGAGTTCTGATGCCGTGAGCTGCCTGCCCTACAGAGGCCCACATGGCAGTGAACCAAGGGAGGGTCCCCACAACAGTCACAGAGGAACTGACACCCTCAGTCAAAACTCAGTCCTGCCAATAACATGAGAAAGGCCTGAGGGCCGGTCCTGCCCAGTCCAGCCACGGCTGAGACCCCAGTCCCAGCCTCCCTTTTGAGACCTGGGGGCTGAGGCACCCAGCTGAGCTGCCCTGGATCTGGGTCCACAGAAACTGTGTGATGATCAGTGTCTGTTGCTGAAAGCTGTACATTAGGGTAGTGTTGTCACACAGCTGTCTCCAGGCCCGTGGGCTTCCCCTCCCGCCCCCAGCTCACTTGGGCCACACTGGCCTGCTTTCTCACTCCTCTCTGGCCAAACTCATTTGTGCCTTCCAGCCCTGTCTGCTGAGCCTTCTCCATCACACTGTCCAGACTCATGCAGGGCTGGCCCATGCTTTGTCTTCTGGTCACAGCACAGATGTCCCCTTAGCAAGACCTCTCAGACCCCCACCCAGCAGGCCCCAGCCCTCCCTGGCAGCACTTCCTTTTTCCTTTCTTTGCCTGTTTGCTTTTGTGCCCTGTCCATCGCCCGCTCCCGACTGCCAGCTCTGGAGGGCAGGCCCACCTGGGCCATTTTCAGAGCCACGCCCAAGCCCAGTGCTGCTCCCCCACCCAGAGTGAGTGCTTGGGCACACCTGCTGAAGGGAAAGAGGAGGCTCTCGGAGCCCACTTCCGCATCTGAGCAGCTAACGTTGTGGAGAGGGATGCTAGTAATGGGGGGTGTGCATTGGGTGGAGGCCGGGGTCACCCAGAGGGACCCTGCGGGGCTCTCCCTGACTCCAGTTGCTCCGTGGAGCACAATGGGCACTGCCTCCCCCTGGTGGCCGGCACTAGCACAGCAGCAGCCTCGGGCAGAAAACCCAGAAAACAAAACACACACCTTTGTTCGGGTGTTGTCAAGGTAGCAGCTGTCCTGAGTCCCAGAGGGTCAAAGGAGCAGAACCTGTAGGCTCCAGGGGTAATTCAAGGAGCCTCAGAAGCTTCATTGGCTCCCCTCTTTCCCTCTGCTGGCCCTGGGGTGTCCAGTTCACTCGTGAGGCCTCCTCACTCCAACCAGGGCAACGGCTCTGGCCCCACTTCCAGATAAGAACCCTGACGCTCCAACAAGGACAGTCTTGCCCCACAAGAGTGGTCCAGTGCTTGGGCGCACTCTGCACCACCCCAGGCCCTCAGCCCTTCAGCCCCTCAGGCTTCTCTTGCTCAGAAGGACCTCCAAGAAGAGGGCATTTTCCACAGACTTCGGTGGGTAGTGGGAGCATCCCCAGTGGAGACCCAAGGCCGACAGACACGTCTACGAGCCTGTGGGACCCTTGGGGTCACCCAGGCCGAACATTCCAATTTATAGAGCAGGAATTTGAGGCTTCCTTTCCTACAGTCCCCTCCACACTGAAGGGGTCTTCTCCTGCTTCTAGGTGATCACAGTGGTGAACACAGAACCCCACAACCTGTCCTCTCCAGGCTGCCCCAGCCCACACAGATCCTGGGAACCCTGGAGAACCCCCGCCCATCAAGCCGGCGTGTCCTCCCCTTGCCCCCTAACCCCGTGCCATGGCCCCGGGCATGTTGTTGGGTACTGGATGCACCTGCCCATGACAGAGCAGCCCCCGCCCTCTTTCATCTTTCCCCCAGTCACTTCCCCAGCGTCCCGTCCTACTCTGAGTCCCAGGAAGTGTGTGGTGTGTGTGTCTGCGTGTGTGTGAGCATGTGTGCGCAGGCCTGCGCCTGTGCGTGCGCGGAGAAGCCCAGGCAAAAGAGCCCACATGGGAGATGGGCAGGGGTCCTCAGGATCTTAGAGGCTGTCATTCCCAAAGCAAACCCCATGG